AACCCAAAAGGTAGCTAAAACGATACGTGTGCGCTTCAAAGTGACAGTTTGTTGGTATTTTAGCCCCAACAACAGCACGAGAAGCCTGTCCACGCTTATAGCCGTTACAGTCGACAAAGACACCCCACATAAGCCGTAGCTTGTTATGAAAGCAGCATCCCTTATATATGGACAGAGGTTCCAGTGTTCGTAAACTATGGAAATCCAATACGTTGCATAGAGAGGCTGGCTAACAAGACCAACCAACAGATCAGTTGTTGCCAAACAACGATACAAGAGTTTAGACGTCGGATGAAGGGAAGATACCTTTCGAAGGGCAACAAGGATGAGAGAATTCCCAAGAAGTGCTGTGATGGAAAGAAGAATGTTGACTGCTGAGAAATATATTGATTGTTGTTGTAATCCACCTTCCGAAGAGGGAGAGCATCCTATTTCTTCAGACGTTTTCGTTTGTGCTCTACCTTCTGTTAAATTTCTTGTCGCCATCGTTTTGCAGTCGTGTCCTTTCACATGTACTTTATTTACGATTGCAGTGAGATTTAACGAAAAATCTCCCTCTTAGAGCTTCCGTACAGACAAGATCTATTAAACCTTAGATTTGCAAGAATCATCACATTAAGACTTCCTCAGTAGTGATAATCATCTAAAATGCGCAAACTGACAAATTGTTTGTGCTGTCAAATACTACATTGGACTGAATTCGGCTTTTTTTCATTCGTGCTTTCCATTTGAATGAATCACCAATACTGAGAGGAAAGCAATTCAAAACATATGTATAATTACTTTTTCAGTGGCGCTACAAATGATCCCTCCTTAACCAAATGAACTTTCATTTGTAGAGCGGGTGATTAAATATATCATTCGTGTGAATATGAGACTGAAAGCCTTCTCAGTTCAAGCTAGTTACGTAAATCGCTTCAAGAAAAACTTGAATTCGTGGCAATCTCCAGTTACATAAAACTTTTTAATATTGAAGAAATGTAAAATGGTTTCCGTGTTTACATAGCCTGATATAAACACGCGGGAGGTTGGGAGAACACGAGATAAGCGTAGGAAATGTAAACATGGCTATGTAAACTCGGAAACCATTTTACATTTCTTTTATAAAATAACTAATGAAAGAGGAACGAAAACCGTGTTTACATACGCTCATGTAAAATGGTTTTATGGCCAATCAGAGCGTCTCTTGTTTTCAAGAAATACGATTGTTCTGAATAAAATTTCATTTAAAATCTTCACTTCAGAAATCGGCAAGTTTTCTCCTTTTATGCTCGATCGATTAATAATAATCATAGTAAAAGCCTTATTCGAGTCTCAAATTTTTAGCCGAGCATAAAGCTTTACGCTTAATCGAGGAGACAGTATATAATTAAAAAACAGACCTATATATGCAAGTGTAATTCGAAAAGATAATACGTGAACATGTTTATATCTTTTATAACTCTAGCTATATTAAAAATCTATGGGATACGAAAATGTGAGAATTAGAGTTTAGCAGATGCATTTATGAGTAGCTAAAACTAAAACTAGTTGGCAAGCACCTCAAGGCCCTGTTTTCAAATATTTTTCTTGAAATTACTCAAGGTTGGTTTTCCTTCAACTTTTCAGAGGTATGAAATAACAGTAAAGTATGAAACAACAGTAAGAGGTAAATAGAAAGACACCTTTAATATGATTTTTTTTACAGTGTAATGACTCGTACTAGTGATGTCATTTAGCTCGGGAAAAATTTAATTATGACATTTTCTGAGTTCGCTATACAAATATTCAAAATTAATGTATGGCCACAGGAGCAAACTTATTTTAAGATGTTTGTGTAATCAATTACGTTTTGCAGCTCCTTTATTTCCGTTTCAGATTCATAGTGGTTTTTATGGATAACATGCTAAAGTTAGCCTGTTAAACCCTGGATACAATTTCTTTTTTTTCAAACATCTTTTGAGCAGAAAGACATGAAAAATATTGTCGTATCACGGAAGCTTTCATGTATTCGGCAAGTGACTGATTTATTCTTATTGCGTTTCCCTTGAGCGATAGTCCTTGTAATAGAATGAAAGTTATGCCTTTTAAACAAAATTTATTATTTAGGAACCTCTTGTTGCTCTCGACTACGTCTTTAGCGACTCTTACTTATCTTTCAAGCTCTCAAAACTTCCCGCGTGCTTCAGATTTTAATGAACGCATGAATCCATTGTTACCTGTACCCTTTAAGGTAAGAGAATTTGGCTCGCTCTGACAAAAGGCTTAGGCTTGAAAAGTGAGCCCTTTATGGTGGCTTATTTACATTATCAACTCAGTCGATAAAACCAAATTATCTTGTAATACCCTTCACTGACGCAGCATGACAATTTCTGCAGAAACTTATCCCACTAAAAGTTGAAAAGTAATTAATCATCCAGGACACACAAAGAATTTAAAAGTTACGTTAAATTTTGGAAAAACGAGAGATTTTGAAAAGAAAGTTAGACAGGGAAGTAAAATATAACTCACATCTCGATTGCTTCTTGACCATGCATGCAAACCGTTATGTTTTCCTTCTCGATTGTGTATTTCGTATTTAGGATAAGTGCTTTCGCTTCTTAACAGATGGTAAGTGATTCCATGAGGAATTCATAAAGAATATCAAAAACAGCTTGCAAGACGGCTTACTGAGCCTCCCATTTCTTGTTTCAAATAGAATTTCTTACGGGCTCTCTTTATTTCAATCTGATAACCGCGACTTTGTAAGTCAGCTTTGAAAACACTAAAAGTGAAGGGCTTGTCTGATTTTCTGCTTCACTGCTCGCCTTACTTCCCTAATCCTCCAGTAGTAAATAAACGGGTTTAACGTTGAGTTACAATAGAGAAAGGAAAGTGCTATTCCCCAGTTGATGACTAAGTGTGATGAATATGTTTTACTTAAAGCATTCACAGTTTCCACTATAGTAAATGGTACATAACAAATAACAAATGCTAACTGCACCCACAAGGCACTGTACACTGCCTTCCTGTACCGCGCCATGTTCAATGCGTTTGGTTGGTTCGGCTGCTGTTGAACGTGATCTTGTACTTGAGCCTGATGATGACTAAGCGTGCGGAAAATCTTTGTGTACGAGACCAGTGAGATAGATAGGCACGATGGTATGAATAAAATGCTATTCCACGTGGCTATACGGTAATCTAAAAGGTAGCATATCGCAGTGAAACCAGATAACACCCAAAAGGTAGCTAAAATAATATAAGTACGTTTCAAAGTTACGAGTACTCTGTACCTCAGCCCCAACAACAAGGCGAGAAGTCTATCCACGCTTATGGCCGCCATCGTTAACAACGACACTGAACATAATGCATAGGCTGATGCAGAGAATGCGTCATATGCAAATCTACAAAGGCTCCAGTGTTCGTAAGAGACGGACATCCAATAAGTAGCATAGAGAGGCTGGCATACCAGGCCAACCAACAGATCAGTTGTTGCCAGACAACGATACAAAAGTTTGGACGGAGGATGAAGGGAAGATTCCTCAGGAAGAAGGACAACAAGGATGACAGAATTTCCAAGAAATGCTGTGAGGGAGAGGAGAATGTTGGCTGCTGACAAATTAATTGATTGTTGTTGTAATCCACCGACCAAAGAAGGGGAACATGCCTGGTCATCAAATGATTGCAGATTTTCGTCCCGTGCCAAATTTTTGGTCCCGTTCATTTTTAAAGGTAGCCTAGTGAACGGTCGTCTCTTTTTTGCGTCTTCAATTTCAGCAATTTGCATTTCATCTTTTCATCACCTGCTGCTCAATCAATATCAAAACACACTTTCTTTACAGAGTTGACATAAAACCTCCAACAGCATGAGACTTTATCCAGGACAATCGGATTTCTTGGCAAAGAGAAAAAATATTTATGTTATTGCAACCTTATCAACAGTTGTTTCGTTTTTTTCTGATAGTTATTTGTGACTGTATGTAACGAAATTTATTCTTTTCTTGACGGCACCTGCCAGGCCTCTATTTCGTAAATCTGGCTTCCTTAATAAAATTTGCAAACAAACTTCCTCAGTAACGTTCAGTCAGTGAAACTGCGAAGTTGAAATGCTCCCTTTGTAAATTCCTCCCATATAATCTAATATTTCTCCAAAGTTCCAAATTTTCTTAATTTTTTAGCTCCATTAACGATACAAATAATTTTACCGTCAAGGTAGGAATATTTTTCAGCAAAATAAGCAATAAGAGCCAAAATTTAAAAGTTTGTGATGTTAACATCACTTCACTAGACATCGCAAAATCAACACATACTTGGGAAAACTGCCAATACGCTGAATTATTTGCTGTTAATATCAGTTTTGACAACAACTTCTAATCATTCTGGAAACAATTTGAATACAAACTTAGTATCTGACAAACTCCTCCAGCTTTTTTGTTCTTCTCTACGCTTCACATCCGACTAAAAGTGAAAGGGGAGACATAGCTCGAAAGGGACGAAATATATGTCCACGAAAAGACTGAGATTATCTGAATATACTGCTGTTTTCTTCATCCAACTGAGAAAGTGACAAAAGTGTTTCTTTATTGCATCGTGAAGCAATAATGTAGCCGCTTTCATTGCTTATCTGAAGTTATGTTAAACTTTGTCCACTGGAATAAACAACTGATCGTGGTCAATATGTTATTGTTTAGTTAAGAAACAACAGACGTTGTACTGAATAATTATGATCAAATACGATTACAAAGGAAATTTCCTGGGAAAGAACCCCAATACAAACTTAGAAGGACTTACCTATCTTTGAGTCATAAAATCACTTGTTTGGTTTCTTTGTCGGCCATCCCAGTGTCTCTGAGGAAAATAATGATAATGAATACAAAATTAATACTTTAGTTTTTAATGAAACGTCAGACTTAAATAGCATGCGCAGCCGACACTGTCTATGCCCGCTCATGTCCCTTCATTTTTAACAGTGTAAATTTTATATTGCTTCGTGTGTCAGCATGCGTTCATTAAGACACGAAGCACCCAAGGGTTTAGAGAGCATAAAAGATGTACAAGAGTTGTTCGACACTTGGCCAAGAGGAAATATAGATTGGTGAGTAATTAATAATGGTTATTAAATTGAGGGGAGTGAAATTTGGTCTTAAATCATATGCGTGATTTCAACATCGAACGGGCGCGATGGGAGAGTTGGATTTGAATCACAAATGTGATAACACACCAAAGTTTCGTGACACGAAGTTCAATTACTATTTTATTATACCAATTTTGAAATCGCAATATGAAATCGCCTAAATGCGAACAACTTAAATGTGTATTGACTTGATCCTGTACTGAGCTGGTTTGTTAAAAGTTGCAAAGCTTGTCTCTCATATTCCTGCAGTTACTCGGTTACTTTAAACAAGCCTTAAAATCTGATTGGTGGTAGTATTTCAGTAAAGCTTTCTCGCTGGCTGGGAAAAAGAAGCGATTTAGAGCAAAAAAAGGTGCGTTTCGTGAATAAATCAAACGATGAGAGCCAATGAGGTAGAAAGGATTACCAGTGACTTCAAAATCTATGTTATAAAAGGTAGAATTGTAAATCATTGTTTTTCGAGTTTCATAGTTTTTCATTATTCATCCCTTCATCTCCGACCTATCATAGTAAACTATTTTTCTTATTTCAGTACTCGAATATAACTTAAGATATCAAGGGATAATCGTTTATTGCCCACGGGAATCGCATCAAAACAATTCAATCACTTGCTGTATAGGTGAAAACATGCTTGATATCATAACTACAAAGTTGAACTCGAATATCCTAAAAAAATTTCACATCCCTGACCAAACATTAAGTTTGCGTGGTTTCATGAATTGGTAGATTGTCACCGATTTAATTTTTTCTCGAAGCAAGTACACCACCAGCCTGAACTTCCAATTTTTAGTTGTCCGAGGCTGATAATGGTTTACTTCTGAAATTCACACATTTGACATTAACTCTTAATCACTACCCTATCAATAAAAGTTTGAGTTAAGAGGGATTGGTTTTTTGTCACCTTATGAAAAATGATGATATTGAAGATGTCTCTGTGCTTACCTCTTGACTGGTAAATTAATTCGAAGGAAAGAAAATTGTGAGATGCAAAACTACAAAAGATTTTGATTTCTCTCTAACCGTTCGTTTGAGTGTATTTTTTGCTCGGTCATATTGCGAAATAATGATGTTGCAGTTATCCTTCAGGCTTTTTCTCCAAATTCAAATGCACACCATGCAAAATGTTTCCAGGCTCAGGCTGGAAACACTTATCAACTTATAAAGCCACACCTTTTTTTGCAGCCTTCCGACGATGAGAATAAAAATTTTCTGAAGAGATTGGGGTGCTGAGCTGATGATATAGTTTAGCCACATGTTACGGTATGATTTAACCGACAGAAAGAACACTATACTCCTACAAACCCAACTACTTTATTAATTTTACTAGGGGGGCGACTCCTATAGGCAATACTGTAATTATCCTCAATAAACTTACTTGAGCCCACTACACACTACAAATTAGGTCACCAATGACACAAACCGATAGTTGTCTCCAAATCTCCTCGAGTAAACAATCTTCCACAGTAGCTCTCTCTCGTTATAGCTTTCCAGACAATCCGTCGTTCCCGACGACATCTACTACTACACGACCGAGTCCTTATATACTTTTCCAAAGGATTTTAGAACACTCCGGAAGCTTACAATACAACAATTTTGGTAGTATTACATCATAGAATAGAATAGAATAGAAACTTTATTAAAGTGTCAAAAACCGTCTAGCCAGGGAACAAATCCCTAACAGAATCTAACAGAATGTTCTAGAAAGTTACATAACATGACAGTAGAAAGTTTATATATGCGTGTCAGCACGACCAGGCGATCTGCAAATTTCTAGAAACTTTTCTTTACAGTCATTATCCATAACGCAGTGTACAGAGTTTGTAAATCAAGGCAATTGATGAAACCCAATTTTTTTCCCAACCAAGACATAGTCTGACTAATTATACCTCCTTCGTATTTACCATTTGTTTATTTTTTCATTCAACATTCTGCTGGAATGGTTATGACTTATGACGAACTACATTATTTATTTATAATCTTAATTCTAGCATTAAAAAATAGCATAGCATGTGTGTCCATACAATTTTTTATAACTCCCTTTTTCATGTATTAATAGATTGTCGCTTTTTTCAATCTTCTACTGAAATGATTTACGTCTTGACTTGATATTTTATTTTCAGTTTTCCAAGGTTAATGTTTTGTTTCACAACGCTTTGAAATAAATATCTTACAGATGTCTCCATGCCTGTTTGTTATTGCCAATTCATACCTAAGGCAAATGACGCACAAAAAACCAAAGAAAAATAACAAGGGTGGAAAAATACTTCTTATTCAGTCATCACACGCAACACATCCGCAGGTTTGTCCACAAACTTTAAGAAAATAATCGCTAATGAGAGATTAGGTGTAAGAAAGTAGGGTTTAAGTGATCGTGGCCGGGCATTTGCTGTGGAGACGAATTTTCTCTCGTTACAATTTCTGGTATCTGGAGGGGGAGAAGGAAACGACCATTTATTGAGCTGCAAAATTATATCGACAACTGATTCAACAGGAGGAGGAACATAGATGAACGCCAGTTTTGAACAATTCACTTTATCCCACTCTTTGGCAAATGAGTTGCATCATCGGTCCATTTCTTTCTCAGTGGTGCACATTTTCCTCTCCCTCACTACATTTCTTAGCAATTCTCTGATCCTTGTTGCTCTGCTCAAGACATCTCCATTCATCCGCCGTCGAAACTCTTGTATCGTTGTCTGGCAACAACTGATCTATTAGTTGGTCTTGTTAACCAGCCTTTCTATGCTACCTTCTTGATTTCCTGCACTTTCGAAGAAAGGAGAATTTTTCGATTCGCAAATGACGCGTTTTACCTAACAAGCTCTTTGTTCACGATGAGTCATAATGAGCGTGGACAGACTTCTCGCCCTTTTGTTACGGCTGAGATACAAACTGATTGTAACTTTGAAGCGCATGTAAGCTATCATAATTGTTTTGGGTTGCATCTCTCGTCACTGCTTTATCGTACATTTGGGATCACCCTGTAACTAAGAGGTGTAGCTCTATAGTTAGTTGCCCATCTATCTCACTGGCCTCGTACGCAAAGATTTTCTGCACTCTCACATGTCATCAGGCTCAGGTACAAGATCACGTCCAACAACAGCCGAACCAATCAAATGCATTGTCATGGCGCGATACAAAAAGGCAGTGTATAGTGTACTGTGGGTGCAGTTAGCAGTACTTGTTTGTTATTTTCCATATCATGTATTGGCAATTGTAATCAACAGTTTGCCAAATTATTGTTTTGTCGTACTAAGCTAGAATAAAGTCACAGATGTCCCACACCTAAATTCACCTTTACCATTTGGATGAACACAGTTCTGTCGCACACAGTTATTCATTTCCAAAACTGTCACGTTCATTCTGGATGGCCTGCGATAATTTGTAGTTCAAATGTGTGAACTGCGGATTTAGAAATTAATTTGAAAGCGATCTTCACAGCAATGAACACTACTTAGGCAGTAATGAAAATAAGGCCTGAAAAAAATATATTCAGGCCTATTAATTTCGTTTCCAAACAATAAATTGCTTTACTGCTTTCATACTACACCAAAAAGTTGAAGATTTCCACAAATTACATAGATCAGATCTGTGTATCACCGAAGTTTATATGATAGGATGAATTATATACGCATTTCGAATGGTTCTTACTTATTATCTTAATGTAGGACAGACACATAAACGACGTCACCTATAAAAACCTTTTTTCTATTTTTTATTATCAAAATTGGTCTGTTCAATAATAGATCAAAGAAGACGTTCAGCCGTCTTAAAAACTAGAATTTTATTTTTCATGATATGCAGGAATGTTGGTATGTACAAGCATGTAATTCAGGTATTGAAGAATGGATGTCAGCAGCCTAACACATCAAGCTTGTAAATTGTAATTCTTCCAAAAAGATCCGTACTACTTGAAAATAAGATCTTTAAAACTTTCATCCTCCTTGAAATTGTGACTGGAAAAGTCTTTACTCCATGTTAAGGCATTCAACATACACAAACAAATCAATCTTTTAGAAAAGAAAGAAAATTCTGCAAATGGCAAGACACAATTCCTAAAATATTTACCACAGAATGCTAGAAATAGTCCAATATCTTCTTTTGGAAAAGAATTCTTAAAAAGCATGAAAGGAATCAAGGGTGGGTATCATACAGGGACTTATGTCAGTTTTTTTAAGATAGAGAGATTCCAATCCTAACACATTTAGCCAGAAACCTATTTTTGGTAAACACTACCGACCTTCCATTTTCACCACAATCCTTTGTCATTCTTCTGTGAGATCATGGACTCTTTTGCCTTGGGGGCATTTTAGCTGGACTCTGAGGATGTCAGGATTTAGTGATGTACTAAATTGCCTTGACTTCATGCCAGGTTTGTGTCCATTCAATTGACTCTGATTGCAGAAATGTCAGCTTGAAGTCTGTAATTTTAAAAACTGCCAAGGACTCCTTAGGGGGCTTGTGCCTTTTCTTCTTTTAATTTCATTTTTTGCACAAAAGTGCTACTTGGATTTCCTACAAACCACGGCAAAATGATGTTACATTACCAGCATCTTATTTTGTATTCTACATCAGCTATCTTTAATTTGCCAAAGGATTACCTTGTCTTCTAGTCCATTAGAATTTTCTTATCCTGTTGTCTTTATGACTGGGCCCTAGTATTTAGTCTAAGAAAGTTGTTCAATTTGCTCTCCATGGGCTAATCTATAAGTAAAGTTGCTAAAGGATACCTGAAGTGTATTAAAATCATCTGGATAAAATTCAAAGAATGGTGTTAAGCTGCTAGATAATGTTCCACCTTCAAGACAACACTCCTTTCCTACAAATCCACCCTGAAACTGAATCTGAACTTCCTTCACACAAACTTCTTCTGGAAATTCCAGGATAACAAATTGAGGTGAACCCTGTAAAACAATAATTACTGAAAATTTACATACCACCCACGGGTAGACCAAACCTGAAAAATATGGTGAAAAGATTCAGGAAAGTCTCTCTTCCCAAATTTGGGCATATACTAATTTTGTTAGTGATTCAGACTGCCAAGGCAACTTCAGCACAAAACCATTCTTTTCTTCAAAATATCTCCACTACGCTTAATATCATCAGCAACATTTTCATTAATGCAGCCCATAACTTGGTGCCTAAATAACAAAGCACATATTGAGATTCCACGAGACTGTTTGCTCCTTGTGCTACCTTTGTTCATTTCATGTGAGGAGAGCTATGAAGTCTAAAATAATGGTGCAATTTTGCCATCTTTGTACCCTCCTTTTTTTTCTACATTACAATGCGAAAAGGTTGAGACATGTGACAAATATGGAAGCTGCAAAACTTACTGACTTTAACATAAGAAATGAATACAAAGACAAAAGAGAGTTATGAATGCAGGGTTGATGCCACTGTGTCCAAGTATAAGGGTTCAGGGGAATTCCTGTTCATGAAACTTGATGGTAAGTTTCACTGGAAATTCTGCTTCAAACCATCACTAGTCAAGAGAACAATCATAGTACTACTATGAGTACTAATACTCATGGTTTATTCAACCTTTAGGGTTTACTCAATCAGTCTATCTACCTTTAACCATGACAAAAAGTACCACTGACCATTTAACATCGTAAAAACACCCCAGGTCCCCCCCCCCCCCTTTCACCCCAGCTTTTATTTTCCTTACTTGATCTGAGTTCCAACAAGTGTCTTCATTTTTATCAAACATGTATTTCTTTCCATACTGGTTAGAATCGCGGTTCAATACAGAACTGACTCTTGAAAAAGGAAAATTGATAAAGATTTATTAGAGAATGCAGCCCAGTGTTGTAACAACATAGCTGCTTTACATGTAGCATCCAGTTGAGGCGTTGGAGCATAGTCATTTGCTGTTTTCAAAAGTTTTGAATTTGGAGAGTGTAGGAATCGAAACGAAACAAATTTAAGCTTGTTGAGAGGAAAATTTTTCTAGACCAAGTCAGTATCTGGCCAACTGCGCATTTGTCCCTCCCCTAGCTCAACATTAACCTTAACTTGTTATCAGTTGACAGTTGTTTAATTAGGAGAGAGGTAGGTGCATAGTTGTTCAGGTACTGACATTAATACATTTTTCTCCTATATTTTGGCGAAACCAGGCCTACAGCGACTTCAGCCTGCATCTTCCATGCACGAGAAAGAAACGATCCGAAAGCGTAATTGGTAAAATTAGCATATGATAGAAATCGTACAATCAAATATTATCATACATCATGAAAGGACAACACATCAAACTACGCGTTTCACAGCTTACCTCACTTTTGTTTTTTCTGTCAATAAGGAGACTGATTCACCCGCCATGTTTTGATTTGAGAGCACATTCTGAGGAGCTCTACACCACGGAGATAAAGCTGTAGATGATAAACTGCTGACCGATTGAATCGACAAAGAGGGAAAATGGCGGACATGGCAGATGATCTTCAAAGGAAAATGTAGCTCCTTCATTTGAAGACAGAAATCTAATAATATCTTAGGTTTTGTATAGCGTATTAGCACTATAGAGGGCCTGAGACGTTTTTACCTTGTTCTTCATTAGTATAATAGAATTGTTAGTTCTACTAAACAGCGATCAAAATTTGTCCTAATGTCAGTGAACTACGCAGCTGGACTTTCTTATTATCCCCACAAAGGAAAATGTGGACAGCCTGAGGTAAAGAAAACCATTTTACAATGCTACATTTAGAGATCAAAGCAAGAAAAAAATAATTGATCTAATACAATTGTCATGATCAATCCTGCAGCTTTTCGACTCTCCCGAACAGCTAGAAATCAAGATGGCGGAGTTCACAAAGCTTTTTCGTGAAGCTAAACACATTGTATTTCACACGGGAGCTGGTGTGAGCACATCAGTAGGAATTCCAGACTTTAGAGGACCGAAAGGTGTTTGGACCTTGGAAGAAAAAGGAAAAGCTCCACAAATGGAGACTACGTTTGATGATGCCAAGCCGTCTATTACACACATGGCTTTGGTTAGACTAGTAGAGGAAAATTTTGTTCAGTATATTATCAGTCAAAATGTGGATGGTTTGCACATTAAGTCAGGACTAGCCAGGTAACTCATTTTTCCATGACAAGTTAAAAATTGAACGAGATAATTCAAAAAAATTGAAAAAAGGTCAGACTGGAAAACACTGAGCATTGTCAAAATTTCAGCACTGAGATGCATGCACGGGAAAAACGAAATCCTCAATGAATGGCAAAAGTATTGCCATGCTTGACAATTTTTTTAATTTTTTCTATAACTCTCATTTATCTGCCCCTCTACCCCATCTGAGTGTTACCTGCTGCTTGTGTTGGTGGAACAAAATGCTAACCACCATGCAACATTGTTTGGAGGGAGATAGGGGAATTTTAGGAAACTTATTAAGCATGAATTATAAGATTCTGTTTATTATTCTGAGTGAAGGTTTGTGAACCACCTACTATGGGAAATGTGGTGACTACTTTTGCCACTCATGGTAGGTGAATGATTTAATAAGTAATTGATAAGCTCTATCTGTAGTATACAGGTTACCACTCATTTCAAGTCTATTACTGTTCTGTTATCAGGTCACACCTTTCAGAGCTCCATGGTAACATGTTTATAGAGAAGTGTGACAGATGTGAAACTGAGTACATTCGCAAAAATGCAGTTACTACTGTAGGATTGAAGAAGACTGGAAGAGTGTGTGTGAAAAAAGGAGTCAGAGGAAACTGCAGGTGTAGTAGTTTGTTTTGTCTTAAGGATTTGACAACTCCAAAGAACCTCCACCAATTATCTTTTAGATGACGAAAGATCTTTAACAAATTGTTGAAACCCTTCACATCTTTACATCAGTATGCAAGATCTCCAGTGTTCTCCATACATAAGCTATGAACTTACAAGGAGAATTTTCATAACAATCAAGAGTGCCTTGAGTTCTTGATCATTTCCTTTATTCTCATAACCTTAATGTTTGACTCAAGGGTGGTACTTTTGGGAGAAATTAGATGCTTTTCACTGTTAGAGGTTAAAGGGTTAAAGCACTTGTTACAGGCCAAAGCAAAGTAGAGTATAGAAGAAGACATCACTGAGATTTCTTGTTCCACTGAAAAGTTAGTGATATATTCTTACCTTTTTGCAAATGGTAAGGAAACAGAAAAGAAGAACCTTGCATAATTTTTAATGAATATGGGAATTTGAAAGTTGTGTTTGATGACAGATTTTTATTTCCATAAAGTTTTATTTACACTTTTAGATACCCAGGACATCGTGCACAGGCAACTCTTGCTGAAGTTCAGAATCTCTGAACTGTAGGCTCTTTTTCAAGTTTCATTTGGAGTGATTTTTTACTTTATCCTTCCTTTAGTGTTCAAAACCTTTGTTCTTTTATTTTTGGCCTCTGGTGGTGTATAGCTGTGTACGCATAACTTCACTTTCCTTTAGCACTGCTGGAACAAAAAGAAATGTTTGCTTGTTTTGATTTGATAGGGGTAAACTACGAGATACAATCCTTGACTGGGAAGACTCTTTGCCTTATAAAGATCTTGTTATGGCTGAACATCACTCAAGGTAAAAACCATACTCAGCCCAGTATAAATGATTTCAAATTTACCAAAAAATTGCCATAAAAATACTGCAATAGTGTTTGTTTCGTCAATTGTGGGTTCATGGTTCACTGTTATCAAACATCTTTATTGACAACTTTACTGCCAGACAATAAGAACTGTGTTCAAATCCTAAAAGGAAGTTACATTGTTATGAAATGCTCAGATAATAAAGTATACGAAACGATTTGATATTTACCTAGTGAGTCGGCTAGGTTCACAGCTGACAAATGACTTACATTAGTATTATGACATCACTATAAGGTATCTCATTAGCGGATTAATTAACTTAATGATCGATTATAGAATTTCTCGACAAAACAGTGTTCATGTTAATTTTTTCCTGTATAGAGGTCCGTTGAGTCACATGATGTTTTTGTTTTGTTGAAATTTTATGCACAGTATTCATTCAAACTCTATAAGTTGTTCAACACTCGTGATGTACATCACACTCTGATGAGAAGGTGCTATTTTTGCTCATCATCAGCTATTTTTGAAAATTTTCCTAAATTTATTTTAAAGTGATAATCACTACTATCATAATCATTTTATTTCTCCCCTCCCTGTCCGCTCTAAGAAAATTAGGGAGGACAAGTGAATGATGAGGACATTGTGATGCCAACTTCTGCCCCATAATAAGATGCCTTAGTAAATGTTCTGAGTATTGATTGCTTTACCATATAGAGACAAAACTAGGCAGTGGAGTTAAAATAGTTTTGTGTTCATTTCAGGCAAGCTGATTTAGCAATTTGCCTTGGAACTTCCCTTCAAATCCAGCCAAGTGGTAACTTGCCTCTCTTCACCGTCAGAAATGGTGGAAAGCTTGTTATTGTAAATCTTCAAAAAACAAGACATGTAAGCTTTATTGGAGTGATATGGGTTACTCAGCAGGAAAATTTATTTTACTGGTGTCTTGCAAAGTATTTTTGATTAGAGATTTGTACTTTGTGATGATCGAGTTCCATGTAATTCCATCAGGAGCTCCCTCTCAGAAAAAATGAGAGCATTTGATTTTGGGGACATTTGTTCATTTTGTTGAATAACGGTTTGGAAAAACTTGTTAACCTTTTTGGACTGTAGAGTGAGTATATACATCTGTACATGACAAACAGAGAGTACAACCAACATGTGACCTTTTTGTGCAGTAGTTTGTTATTTCTCTTTGTTCCACAAAACCCCCAAAACAGTATTGGCATGTGTAGCAGCACATGGCATGTGAAAAAAAAATGTAAGGTAGAGGTTAGTTTATAGACAAGGAAGATTTTGATTTTTATATACTCAATAAATGAGCACAGTGGTGAATAAGAGATGTTCTTTTCCATCAGGATAAAAAAGCTACCTTGGTCATTAATCATTATGTTGACGGTGTAATGAAGGAACTTATGGACAGACTGGGAATCTCAATCCCTTCTTTCACTGGGAAGCCATGGTGGACTGACTCTGATAGTGAAACAAAATATCCCGCTAAAAAAGAGGAAATGGAGGAATATGAGGAAAAACATGAACTGAGTCATGAAACTTGTGAGGAGTTACCAGTAAAGAGGTTAAAACAAGACTTTGAAAAGGACCCTCATGACAACAATGATCCCTAATTTGTTTTTACTTGTCAAAATGAATCATATACATCTTCTTGGTAGAGCTAACCTCATTTTGAAACCTTTTTCTTTGTCAAAGCAAAATAATTTTGTGGTGGTTAAGTTTTGAGTTGTACCCTTTCATGACTAAAAATGGTAGAGATTTAATTTTCAGTTGTGAGTCAACTGAACTGTGACTAGGAACCCATTTCTTGAGAGTCCTGGTAACTAAAGGGGCCTGAATGGGAATTTAAATAGAGGCAGGTTCTCACATTCCAACCACTCCATTTTGTTGCTTTAGCTAATAGACTCCTTGTAACAATTGAAACACCCATCTTGAATGAAAACAGAACAGATTTGCAAGCCTGTTAAGTTACCTGGACCATTGAGAAACAGGCCTCAAGCTCATGTTGACTGCTGTGTACTATAATTGTTTTCCTATAACATTGGCCCTTTAACAGAATATTCATTGCTTTCATAACTTCTTGAGAGCCCACAGGATATACCGAGTACATCATGGAGGGTTTTAAGGTATTCTTTCAATTTGATGCATTCTTTAGTGAACCTTCAACCAATCCTAAAATTGGCCATGAAAACTATGTGGCATGTAGAGTACACAATGGAACAGGGAGCCAAGAGGTTTTAACCCAAAGAGAAGCCTTTTCACAATTCAGTCTATATCAACTTGGTCTTCCCATTTGGTAGAAAAATAAATCAAGCTACTAAGAGGGAATGTATTCTTACTTTTTAACTTTAAACAGTTTAAAGACTGGTAGTCCTTGAAATCTTTTTACGTTTTTTATATTATTTCTACTTTTAATTTATTTAACTTACATAGTTATTGAAAAGAGCTCACTCTTTATATCTAAAATACAGGTGAGAATATTTATGTTGTGTTGAAGAGCAGCACAAAATAAAGAAATTGAATAGTGCCAACAAAGTGGTCCGAGTATGTGAAAGTTCCTTGGAATAAAGGAAAATGTTGCAACATTCTGATAGTTTAAGTGCATTTATAATGGTAATAGGACTGAGTGGACTCCAATCCAGTCTGTAATCATACGAGTGATTGACAAAATCAAGCGACTGTGAAGTGGGAGTTTGATTCATT